GGGATTCTGACGTACATCGCGGATATAACCGATAACCAATCTAGGGGGCTCGCTGGGTTCCGTTGCCTAGCTGCAGGGTACATACAGAACAATTATCATAATAAGCTCACATAGGTTTATACAATCAAAGGAAGTTGTAATTACGTCCTAAAACTCATAAACAGATTCCTAATTCTGCTGGAAGCACGCCGGACGCCATACCGTAGAAGGGATCGCATCGAACATTTTCAGGCTGGAAGCGTTGTACACGGGACATAGTAAGACTGTTTTGAGTAGGAAAATCTACAAAAACATAGATACAACCCAAAGTGCGACAAAAAAAGAGAAAAACTACATGACGATTGCCAAGGAACTTTGGTGCGTCTGCCTATCTGGGTTTCACTTATATGCATAGAAAAGCGTCATCGTGCTTAGGTGTACTGGGAGGCGTCGGTAGGGATGCTAACGAAGACAGAACACTGCATCTAAATCTAAGGAGACGCTGAGATACGGTTATTACTTTGCACTGAACACATCAATTTTTACGCGAAACTTGACTCGTCAATCAAGAGGAGACTCACGACGAACCAAGTTATGGGGCATCAGCCGTTCTCTGAAAAAGTCCACTAAAAGAGGACCACTTGGATAAGAACTGCTGACACCTGATATTTACGGCAGGAACTTAAATCAAGCACATACCTGGCGCACAAAAGTGATCTAAGATGACAAGCAGCTCAGCTCAGTACTGAACAGCTGCCATCAAAAGGAATTAGATAGACCGACATGGATTGCTGTCATCCAATGCTCGAATCCGTATTCTTGGAAGACTACAATCGAAGCATGTTAGTTTCATCAAGTAGGATCAGATCAAACCGTCAGAAAGAGAGTGAAGAACCAGTGACCAATTTTTTCGGATGGCAATATCGGGTTAAATAATGACGTGAGTTTTGCACAAATCAGGTATAGACAAAGTTCAGAGTGGTTGCAACGTGATTTATATAGGGTCAGTCCAATGGGAAAACAACCTAAAAAACTAACCTGCAACCCGGAAGGTTCTGCGAATAATTCTGAGATTGTGTTCTGCTTGAAAAATGCTGTAGTAAAACGACCACCCTCGATTGCAACATCGGCCAAGAAGCGTTTCTGGTTGGCTTTACGTAATATATTCTCCTCAACTGTTCGCTCACTGATAAGCCGATAGATGTGTACATCTCGTGTTTGTCCGATACGATGGCACCTAGTATGGGCAACGGCATATGGGGAGTGAGCTATCGGGACAAGTCTTTATAACTTGATGTGTAAGGATGAATAAAAATGATCTCAGACACGCATTTCAGGGCGATTCATTAAAGACGATGATGACACGAGCCTGGTGGTTCGTCCCGATTGCAGTCACAATTTGACATCGGATCTATACTGACTACATCTAGAGGGCAATTTGTTTTTTCTAGTTAAAAATAATCGGTTGAGTTGAGACCGAGCTAAAAACGCCTACTCGTTCCCGAAGAAAAAGTTATTGCCGTTCTGTGTTGCCCCCGCTGTGGTTGCCACATTAAATCAGCAATGCGATGGGATTGCAGCTACATCGAATTTCACTGAAGAATCACAGGTTAGGCGCAGGTACACTAAAACGCTTTTCCCTAACTAGGTAGGGTAACGAAGCTTAAATTGAAATTTAGTTTACATTCTGCACTCACCCCTAATCCAATAGCCTGAGGCCTTTCGATTTCTCAGAACCGGAGCTACCAATATTGGCAGTCCACATGAACTTGTCACACAAACTAAATCAACATTTTTGTTCCCCGTTGCAAACTGACAATGTGCCAGTCGCACATGGAATGTTCTCAGTGAACGTGTTCAATTTGCGTGAACGTTGTGACAGCTTGGATCAGCTGCATGAATACCCATTGCACACGATTCCATTGTGGTTTCGCGTAACATTTAAACTAAATCTATGCAGACTAGTGAGGATGTAGTCCACATATCAGTTCGACTGTGGGGAAACCAAGAAGCGCCGGTAAAAATGATGCATTTTCCCATTAACTGTTGCTACTCAAGGAGCATGCAGTGACAATATGGTAAGTAGTTTGTGCCGGCAGCCATAGACTAGTGCTACTCCAAGACTCCTATGTTCGGACAACTGTGAATCGCTCAACGGAGGTAGAGAGTTAATGGCATTCCGATTGTGCCTCTATTCGTTTGCACTTGTACTGAGGGTTTATTACACTGTCATTATTTACAATCCAAACTACTTTTATGCGGATTCATCTCAGAAAACGCACGCACCACTGATTATGTGTCAAGCTGACCACTAGGATGGGTTTCAGTGGCCCAAAAGTTGATCCGTGGTCACATGTGAGGGTGGTTTTTCTCTGGAATTCTGAAAATGAATCGAATTTTCACGAGATCGATCAGAAGTAGTAGTTCTAGTTATAAAAGTTCTCCAAAAAAGGACTGCCGTACACGGACAACCACAAACGGAATGAGGAAGTGTGTTAAAAGCGACACGCCGAAAGTCTGTCTGACTCTCTGAAGGCCTTCCCTATGGTGACCGCTGTCCTTGATACAATCACGCGGCTATGCTCATAAACCCCAACCATATAAGCCTTTCTCTTAAGAGAACAGTAGTGGTGGCTATCTCAAAGTAAAGATAAAATTTATGTTCAATTCAAATGAAAAAAAAATGAGACTGAAGCATGCAGTCTGCCCTTACAGTAACGCAAACAGTAAATTCCGAACGGACTCAACAAGAAAGCTTACCGATCTTGTGCTTGTGCATCCATTGTCGGATTCCAGTCCGAATCGTAAAATATAACCGTATCTGCTCCGGTCAGATTGACACCCAACCCTCCGGAACGCGTAGAAAGGATGAACACAAATATTTGGGCATCCTGATTAAAACGTTCCATCAGTATTTGACGATGTTCAACTTTTGTCGCTCCATCCAGACGCAGATATCTATGGCCGTGATAAGCGAGAAACTGTTCTAGGATGTCCAGCATACGTGTCATCTGTGTGAAAATCAACACGCGATGTCCACCAGATTTTAGTTCTCGTAAAAGCAAATCCAGTCGTTGTAGTTTGCCTGGGGAAGGAAGGCGGTTGAAGAGGTAGGAAACCAACCTTACTTGATCACGGCAATCGTCACCGCATTTGTGAGTAATATATAAGCGACAGTAAGTCACTTGTATTTCCGCAAAATAAGTCCTACCTTATGGTGTTCAACGATAAGGAGCTGATAATTTCATTTGACTACGTCTCGCAACACTAATAAGTGTGCTACTCTATTACGCAGACAAGTGAAACGAGAAAAATGAATCTTCCGTGTCTATTTCAGTTCACTCAACAGGGGGCCGGACCGTTCACGTATTTATCCACAATCTCATTCACCGACTTTGCAAGAGGGCCTCTCTCATACTATGTACTGAGCACCTTAGATTTACAGGGTGACCTATACAGACAACAAAACCGTCCAGCAATGTTTCGTTGAAGGACAGAGAGGAGCTGGAACGAAGAGTCGGCAAGTGATACACATCGGTCGACCAGAATTGAGGAGGGGGTTTTCAGATAAATTCCCTGGAGCCTTTAACTAAATACTGGTTAAAAGTGTGTTCGAAGGCTTTTTCTGGGAAAACTTGACTTCATCCTTGGCTCAGCTAATTGGGGATGGGGACCATCCCAACCCGAGGGGGTATGGATTAAGGCGAAAAGATCTACATTCCACTATTACATCTGAACCTACTCATGGCTGTATGGTAATCCGGCCATGTCGAGTAAAACACCAGTTTGCACTGCCGGTTGTTCGAGCACCGAAGTGCGTGGGCTAGACGCAATTCGTTATAATCCACCTGCTAACCGAAAGGCAGTTAGACTCCAGTGTTCCTGATGTCAAAGACACACAAGTAAGAAGCAGGCGAACTCTTCAAAAAGGGTACACGGACGCTATGCGAAAACCACCGTGGCATCAGCCTGTTAGCTGTGGCATCGAAGGTGCTCTCTGGCCTTATCCTTCGAAGGTTGACTGAACACAGGGAGAGGCAGATCCGTGAAAACCAAGCTGGGTTCCGTCCTGCAAGAGGTTGCATCGACCATATCTTCACCCTACGACAGATTCTGAAACAGCGACACTGCTTCCAGCAACCAACAATGGTTGTTTTTCTCGATCTGAAAGCTGCCTTTGACTCTGTGGACCGCCAAGCACTGTGGCAGTGTCTGTGGAGCAAAGGTGTCCCCCATAAATACTTGAACCTCATTAAGGCGCTGTACGCCAACTCCCGCGGCCGTGTAAAGGTCTACGGGAAGCTCTCTCCTGAGTTCACCACATCAAGTGGTGTCCGACAGGG